TGCTATCTGAATTAAAAGAGAGAGAAAAAATGAAATAAATTGAAATAGAAATAAAGATGGAAAAAGATGGATGAAAGAAAACTCAGTGAAAACATTAGGATCATTATTAACGGCAACAGCAATGGCAGCGACAACAATGGCAGCAGAGGCAGCATAAACAGCAGCAAAAGCAGCAGTAGTAGTAGTAGTATAGCAGCACTGATAGCAATAGTCCAAAAACAGCAACAATATTTGGCTAATTAGTTAGCAATGTCGTTGGAGAAAATCTCTATTTTTTTTTTTTTTGCTTAAGATGTTTAATGTTTGAAAAAATTCCGATAAACTTATTGAAGTGTGAGATAAACGGAACGAGAAGAGGAGATTTTTACTGCTTAAAAATATACGCAGGTGATAATTTGGAAAATTTATACTTTTGTCATAGTAAACGTATGCGCGTTTACTTCTTCACTGGGTATTCATTAGTAATCTCCTGAATTATTATCGCCTTCTTTTCTCTAATCTAAAACAAGAATCTGTCTGTATCACAAAAACAAGAAAGGAAAGAAAACCCTAATAAAATTATTATTTTATTTTACCTGCAGTATTTATGAGTTCAACAATAAGGGGACAAATCAACCAAAGCACCAACAACTACAGCAACAGCAACAACAGCTACAACAGCAGCTACATCATCAACAACAGTTATGGAGAAGAATGTGTTATCGTGTTGGTAAAGTTTTTGATCTTTTTTTTTCTGTTTCTTCTTTTTATTCATCTTTCCATTTCCTGTCTCTTCCTTTCACTTCTTCTTGTTATTGCCTTGTCTACAGAAATAAAAATAAATGTGACTTTTCTAAAAATGGTAGTGCTCAGTAAAAAAAAAATCTCTATAGACTTAAGCATAAATCTGTGAAAACGAGAAATGGAGACATATAAAGTGAAAGAAAAAAAAGACTTTTGAAGAGGAAAAAATTGAAGAAGAAGAGGAAGAAAAAAAGAGAATGACGAAGACGATAAAAAAAATTTAGATTTAGAAGCAACAGAGCGACTGATAAACGAGGTTATGTTCCAAATATTTTAACCCTCCGAAAGTTTACTTTGATGCTTTTGCTTTTGACAATCGGCAAAAACTGGGAGGTGGGAAAGGAGGGATAAAATTTTTCGATCTGACGTCATTCTGGTCACATTACTTCCCACGATGTTTGAGTGAGTGTATTTGCTTCCACTTATTCTGGCTTCATTCTCTGGCTTATGTTGCTATTTTGTTCTTGATGACGAGACGGAAGAGACCATGGGAAAACTATTTAATAATTGGAAAAGAAGGAGAAGGTGACTTTATTGCTTTTTTTTTACCTTTTTTTTGTTCTATTTGTTTACTCTAATTTTTTTTAATTTCTATAGCCTTTTCTTCTACGAAAACACTGAGTCACACATCATTTGGTATCATCAGAAACGTTCCAAACAGTTCTTTCTGAACATAAATTCTTTAAAGTCTACTAAAAATTTTAATATTGACATATTAATGAATAGCTAGATTACAAATATTAGTATTTCGTAGGCTTTTCGTCCTATTGCTGTCGCTTTTTATACTTTTATTTCGAACTTTTTCGACTCTTCTTCGTTGCATTATCAAACTGATTTTTACACTCTGTTTTATTTTCCCAACAAAAACTTAATGAAAAAATGAGGAAGAAAAAAGGGTGAAGAAATGAGAGAACTAAAGGAAAAAGGCTGATAAATTTTGGCACCTTTCGTAGTCATTTATGTGGTCGAACACTGATGTTTGTTAAATTTGCTAAGGAAAAAGTCTTTTTGATTTTCACAGTCGGCTTTTAGCAAAAATACAAATTGTTATGGGTAGTCATTTGTTTTCTTTCCTTTTCCTTCTCTTTTTTTTTCTTTGCCTTTATAAATTGCTTTAAGATTAAGAAAGGAATAAAGATTTGTTTTTTTTCTTTTATTTTCTTTTTTTGGTTTTTCTGTTGCCATTTGTTTATTTGTCTGCCAAAAACTTTATCAACAGACAATTTTTGAATAATCAGTTAAATTTGCTAGTCAAATGAAGCTAAACAATGAAATAAAACAAGAGCAACAACAGGAAGAAAAACCCCAACTAAAATTAAGAAATCTGTTTTGCTTTTAAATCAAATTTTGAAAAATAAGCCATATCTGAAGCAGCTATTTAATACAATGAATATATCACTAATGTTTGAGGTTTTTTCTTTTCAAATATTCTGCCTATAACATCGATGTTTGAAGGAAAGAGACAACTTTTTCCTTGTTAAATAGTAACATTTAAATTTGCAAAAGTTTCAGTATATCCACAAAAAATTTATGAGTATCCTGAAAGTTGTCACAAACCCAATGATCAAAAGTAATAAATTATTAAAATATAATATCATCTTTTATAGATTTTTAATGTTTTTCTTGCTACTTATTATATCTATCATTATTAATTCTGATAACTATGCTTGTGACATTACAAAAAGAAAAAAAAATTACTGCTTCCGATCCTTTGTCTGTTGTCGTCATCTGTTTTCATAGCCAACAAAAAAAACGGCGACATTCATAAGGAAACGTTGAGAAAACTGATTGTGAAGTTGGTACAGAAAAAAAAACTTAGTGGTTGCCATTTAAATAAATACTGAGTATTTCAATGCTAAGTTTTCTCTGTTTTTTTTTCCCTGACCACCAGCAAAACTTTACTGAATAGGGAGAAAAAAAACCGAAAAATTTTTTTCTCTTTGCAGTTAATAGAAAACCTTTAGCAAATAAAGTGGCTATGTAAAAGGATACAAGTATAAATGTAAATATTTTATTACTCTAACTAATATCGCTATTATTGTTAGAACACAAAGAAGAAAGTGCATAAAGAACAAAGTAAAAAAAATGCCACTAAACTGGATTAAGTTTCAGAATATTTATTTATTTATTCATTTTTTTACTAAACAAAATTCACCAATGTTTTTTTTGGTGTATAACTGCAGAAAAAAACGTAACATGCCGCGAAAAAAAAAGGAAAGGATAAAAGGTAAGGAAAGAGCAGATAGAAACCGATGGTACTGCTGGTGATGCAGAAAAAAGAAACAAAGGATAAAAAGCTACATATCTCAAACTTCATTGTCAGTATCAATTTTTTCCTTCTGTCTTGTCCTTCTTCCATTCTTCATTGTTTCCATCTACTAAATCAAAGTATTGTTTCTAGATGAAAAAAAAAAAGAAGAAAAAGAGAAAAAATATTTTTGTTTAAACTGACAACTGTGAAACAACAGAAACTATTTCATGACTCATTTTCCCTTCACCTCCATCACACCCACTCAGACTCTACGCCTCTCTACTGATCATCCAAAACACCAATAGGTAGAGGTTGAAGCAGTTAACTATTTGCAGAAACAATCCAATTTTTTTGTTTCTCATTACTATTTTGTCTCCTTCATCAAACACCATCTTGCAGCATTGTTCGCCTTAGTCATTCCCTTTTTCTTTCTATCCCCTTGTCGTCCCCCAATTCATCGGCTATCCCTCTTAGCCTAAAGCCTTCCTTTTTCAACAGCTGAACAGCACACGGTAATTATAAATGAAATAAAAAATTGTATATATTGCAGCAATGAGCAGTGAAGCAATGCTAAAGAATTTGAATATAAATTTGTGAAAATATCCTCTGGTAAATCGACGCTTAACAAGAACAGGACAACAACAGCATCGAACAAACAGCATCTTCATTGCTCCGTTCTACAATTCACGTGTCCCACTCGTAGCACTGTTGCTGCTGTTTGCGCCCCTTTTTTCAATAAGGGAAAGGGGGACATTTCTTTGAAAAATTTGAAATTTTTTTCCTTAAAATAATCGCTACTATAATCTTTTTATTTTTTTTTTGGTTATTTTATTTGGAAGCATTTAACGCTGAAATGCTCCAAGACTCTTTGTTGGAAGCAGTTGAAAATTTCTTGTCAGTTTTAAAGTGTTTTATTCTTTTGTCGTTTTATCTTTTGTTTTCATTTCTTTTTTATTATTACAACTTATGCAACTGCAACTTTAGCTGTATTTTCTTCTTCACAGCACACTGTTATAGCTTACAGTTCCAATTCTGGACTAGTGAATTCAATCATTGCTGTACTTCCAAATGGTTCAGTCAGTGTTGATTCCTCGCTTTTTCCTCCTACGATAATAATTCTAATTCTTTTCTCTTTTATTTTTTTTTATTTCGCTTTTTTTTTTTTGTTTCTTTAACAACACTTAAACTTCCTAATTGACCAGTAACGATGGTACATTAAAGCCGCTTTTAGTTGAATAATTTGTTTGCTGCTCTTAAATAAATCTTCAAATTTGGTGAAACATTTATCAGTAAAAGGGTTGATGAGTAACTTTACACTGCTGGTTTGAACGACCACTAAAATACATGTGGATGTTTTTGCCTACTTTTGTGTCTATAGATTTGCGGGTGTTTGTGTGTGTGTGAACGTGAATCTTATAGGTGACATTATGTTATTGTTGAACTTGTCAGCACATAAGAAATTTGGCTAATTCTTGCAGTTTTTAATGCTGCTAGCTAATGTATTTGGAAAGTTTTGTACGTATATATATAAACATAATCGCACAAAACTTTCTAAATTATATAAATATATATATATATAT